TGTTAAATTTGGGAAACTGGTTTTAGTTTATTTTTAAAAGCAGTAGAGAGGTAGTTTGGCTATTGAATTACTTATAAAACAGGAGAGCTGGAAAGGAGCCATTTCTATGTGTGTTTCTGAAATGATCAGCAAGATTTGACAGCTAGAGGCATACATTTGCTGCCTTCAGTGAAAGTGCCATTTCTTACCAATAAGGGGATTGCACATTGAATGATCCTGCTTGGATGAGCTCAGAATGTCATTGTTTAGAATACCTCTCCAAGATATACTTTATGCACCTTCTGGTAAAATTCTGTAACCTGTATATGCACAAGGTCAGACTACATGACCCTAATGCTGCCCATCAGAGCCCTCAGAACCGAAACTTCTATGGGTTTAGTTGGAAAGATGCTAGAAAATCAGCTGGATTCATTTGTATGAAATCACATGGGATTTCTCTTGACAGGTTTCACGTGTAAATTGCCTGTGTCTCACCAAATAAACTCCAATTTCTCCTACTTCTTTTTTGGTTGCTATCTCTGGTGTGGTCCATCTAAAGAAATTACTCTGGCAAACACCTGAGGAAGTCAGCATCAGGGTTTTTGTTATCAGAGATCACCTATTCCTGATGCTGAATGTCTGCAGCAATGTTCAGGGTAATATTTGCTAATGTCAGCACAACAATCCCATGTTTTGCTTTGTTTCTCATTTATTCTCCAGTGCATTATTTTTTCTCTTTCCGTCAGAATTAAGAGGGCATTTCAGTTTACAGGAGGCAGCACAGCTAGTCCGTGTGGCTGCATTTGCCAAACCCCCAGACTTTTCAGAACACAAACTGCCTGAAATTACCCTTCTTGTTTTGCTCTCCCAAAGGCTCTAGGTTTCCAATTCCCAGTGCCTTTATTTCTCCCAGCTGAGAGCTGAATCTGGTTTGTGGGTCCTGCAGTAATAACTGAACAGCGAGGGGCTCCTCCTCAAAGCCGGGAAGGGGAAAGGGAAAACGGGAAAGGAAAAGAAAAAGGAAAAGGAAGCTCGCACAAGCACTTCTGCCCAGTGCCCGGTTTCAGCGGGCACTTCAGGAGCATCTCCCTCTTATTTGTAGGCAGAGAGCGCCGCCTGCCGCAGGTATTACATTGAGTAAGATGCTTACAGCGCAGGCAGGAGCAACATGTAATGTTTTAACTTCAGATTTTTTCAGCTCCTTAGATAATGAGGAGCTGAAGTCCAGGGCGCTAGAGAGTGCACTGATGGGATTACAACAGCTTGTTTAGGAAAAGGAATTAATTGCACGTTAATCCTCTTCTATTTCGATTTTGCAAAAGTAAAGATTTTATCTTGTATCCTATAGCTTGTATCTTATATACAAGATTTTCTTGTTTCTCTTGTATTTTATATCTATGTCTCATATCATCTTATATCTTTAAATGTCATACCTTATTTTATTTTATTTTTCATTTTACTTTTGAGAAGCAGCACACTTTCAATTATCTATAATACTGACACCATTCAAAACTGTATGACCTAAAAGGAGTACCAAAGATGCTTTTGTAACTTAAGCTTTTAGAGGATCATTTCAGCAGATCAAGAGCAGCTAGTTGCCGCTGTTATTCAGACGAAAATCTTCATTTACACCAATTGAGGGTATTAATTTTCTGTTTTAAATGGTGAATGGCAAAAAACCTCCACCCTGATCTGTTAAAAAATGATCTGTCTGTGAGTCAGGACCCTCTCATATGGTCTTGTAGACCGATCTGATCAATGACTGTCAGAGCCCCGAGGGCACTAATAGGCCCTAATGGCCCTGAGCAGCCAGTTTCGCCAGGGGCCTCCCCTCCACACCCTGCCTGTTTTTAATCTGAGCCCGGAGTTGCAGTATCTGCTTGATCTGCCCTGCAGGAATGCTGATCCCTGGTTCAGCCACAGCCATACCCTGGCTGCGTTTAGGTCCTGATCTGTGGACTCATGTCCTGGACCAATATTGGTTCTGTCTCATCACCATGGTCCTGCCTGGTCATCCTAGGGTTGTGTCTGATGATGGATATTTTTGTTTGACCTGATCCTGAGCTGTGGATTGACTTCTAAACTTGACTATGGACCTGCCTGGTCACCATGGACTTGTCTGGTGATCCAGGATCTTGGCTGAACCTCACTTAAAGCACCTAGCTCCAGAAAAGAGCTTCTCCATATTAGGTATCCCACATGGTACGAAGTGCAAAAAGCTGCATGTCCTGTTCCTTCAAGATTACCCCCAGAGTGCCAATAGGAACTATGTCAGGGGGTACCTTCATTGACACACACTTGTCTGAACCGAGGGGAGTCCATCAGATCCTATTCGAAAATAGTGCCTGTGTCCTGGAACTAGCTGGTTTTGGACTGCTGACTTTTGTGACAAGCAACAGTCCCTTGCACAGTGTTCCTGTTGTTATGAGACAAACACATAACCACCGGGATGGTTATATGAGGCGCTTTATTGAGGCGCCGGGAACCAGGGGTACGCACCCAAATCTGGTTCCGATTCCCGTTACATCGCGTTCGCAATTTATACACTAAGAATTTCGTAACTAATACATATTCAACACAGATTACATCATTGACTAATACATATGCATCAAAGATTGCTACATCAATCTATTACGACATCAGCCTCTTCTGCGCTTGTGCCGCCCCCTGTGGTGGTCGCCCTGATGAAGTAAGGAGTCTTCCTCAGATGAAGTAGGAAGTCTTCCTCAGGTTGTCCTTTTCACCTTTCCTTTACTTGGCCAGGTCCCAGTCGTCTTCTGGACGTTAGCATTCTCTTATCTTCACCAGGATGCTTCTGGTATGCCGTTTTTGGCTATCTTAAACTTAGGTTCTGCTTGGGTAGAGTTTTACAATACATACACCTATACTCCCCTCACCATATGCAGTTATGTTAGCTCTTGTTACCAAGACTACCATTGTATCATGTAGTTACAGAGTAACTATGATACAAAACGCCAAAGTTACAACGTCTTCTATTATACAAAGCCTCACTATTGATTTATAAATTTCTCAAATATAATCACTTTACTATTTTATATGATTATTTTATTGTAAAAACTTCACCCTCTCTAACACTGTTGCTCAGGAGAAATGTCTGGAAAGAAAGACACAGCTCCATCCCCAGCCCTGGAGACACGTGGTTATGCTGTTTCATGCCACCTGGCACAGGCTGCCCAAAGAATATCGTGCCTTTGGAGTAAATGAGGATGAACCAAAACATGGTAAGGCTCTATTTTTAATTTATGATTTTTTTTTGGTGTGGGAAGTCAGTGGAGTTGTATTCATTTAACCCCCTTTGGGTTTCTCCCACTTGCTATTGGGCAGAATAGATTTACTTTTCATGTCATGGCAGCTGGAAGTAGGGCTTTTTATTGTGAGCACTTAGAGCTCTGAGGTGGAACTTGTCTCTTGTAAAGACATCACCTGAAGGTGGCTTAGTGCTTCTGGAGTCTCTTACTGTGAGGTAAGAAGTCTTACATGGGAGGGAAACTGACTGAGGGGAGAAGCACTTTCATTGCAGACTTTGAGCAGAACTCCTGGGTGTTTAAAGCAGTTCTTGTGTGGTGAGATTACTCTGAGACCTTTATGACTACTTCAGTTCAAAATCAGCTTGTTTGAGGCCCCATTGCCATGAGGAAGAATATGCAGAGATGCTGGAGCAGAGTCACCTGCAGAGGCTGACCTGGAGCAGGTTGGTCCATGGAGTGATTCAGGCCCAGAGGTCACCCATCTGACTGCTTGCAGACAGCAGGTCTAGTTCTGGCAGGTGTCTCAGGGCCTTGCGCCATGGAATTTACAGCTTCCTCATGTTTTGAAATGATGGAGTTATTTCTTTAGGCCCTTGTGGTCACTGGACTGTGTGGAGACTAATAGGGTCTTGTGTTATGTCTGGGCTGTGTGATGGCATGACAGGAGACCTCCTGCACAGAGAACGGAGAAGCCACAGGCAGTGCAGCAGCCCCCTGCCTGCTTTCATTTGGCCAGGCTGGATTCCTGATGGGATCTGGGTTAGCCCATGGAAGAGGTAAGAGCCTTTTCACCAGCAGATCCAAAGGCAGGTGCCTCCTTCCCCCTTCAACGTATTTTAAAAGCGCTTTGCAATGACCTTTGGTTCTTCTGCCATCGTGTGGCTGAGAGAAGGATGCAGGTTATCCACTGTGCATGGTAAGAGCTCTATTGCTTTAGTAGTGACACCTTAGTGGATAAAAGGTCTTTTAATAAGGATTGGCTTTGAGCTTTCTCCCTTGCCTCAGCTCTCTATCAGGGAAATAGGGATTTACAACACTCCCCGCCAGAGCAGGGGAGCAGTGGGAAGGGCTCCTCAGCTTGGTGTGAAGGAGTTTGAGATGCCCATCCGAGCAGATTCTGGGATGCAGGACGCTGAGAGCCTCCAACAGCTGAGCTGTGCAGGGTGCTGCTGTGGGGGCTGGTGGGGAAGAGCACACACTATCTTCAACCACCCTAGAGATGCAGCAGTGCTTCATCCATGCCCTGCATGGCTCCTGAAGAAGGGAGCTGAGTTCTGCCCCACTGGGACTGTTACAGAGCAGGGTGTTAGAAAGCCAAGTCAAGTGAATGCCTGCTAGCACAGCCCATGGGAGAAAGGAGCAGAGAAAGGTAAAAGCCATTCCTAGTGTCGAGGTTCTTGTCAGCAGTATCAAGGGGGCAAGGACTGCAGTGGGAACAGGAACATGTGTGAAAGCACAGGGAACAAGCCCTTATGGATATGGTGGGGTCTCGTTGCTGGCATCTCAATCTGTCATGCACAAATGGTCCTGATTAAACCACATGGGCACTGGTGCTGGTGCTTGTGTGTGTTTGTAAGTGGATGAAATCTGTGTAAGAATGCATGAATGGCTTAAATCATGTTAAATAAATAGCACTCGTACAAGTGCTGCAAGTCCACCCACTCCTAAAAAGGCACAAAAAGCAGATGGCAACTTCAATTTCCAATATTTATTCTTATTAAAACAGTGCTACTCAAACTGATTTATGGCAGTGATTTATGGCCTTGCAAATAGAACATATTAATGTAAGTAGTTGGAGTTACACTTTCATCACTTTTGTTAAAAGGAGGAGAGAGCAAGGTGGTACAAGAACATAATTTGTAAAGGGGGTGGGAGGGAGGGAAGGAAAGAGGGGGAGGACATTTCCTTCCCCAGCTGTGATGCACTGAAAGGAGAGGAGTGATGCAGCTGGGAGATGAATGCGACTGTCGGCTCCTGCCTCTCAGTACTGGCAGCACAAAAGTTGGATCTTCCCCAACAAGGACCTGGGTGAAAAGCAGGGGATGAGGAGCCATGTGGGCTGTCTTTTTGTATGCTGGGAGCAGGAGTTCTCCTGCCGTGTCTTAAATTAACCAGGTGTTGCATTGTCTTAGCTGTGGCTTTCTCCTAATCCCATTCCCAAGAACAGAAATGACGCTTCATGTTGTTAATGTGGAATTCCTCAGGGAACAGTGTGGGGAGCACAGGATACTGGAGCAGAGCACAAGGGTGCATCCAAATGTGCTGTGAGAACTACATGCTTTAGGCCTGATTCCTTCCTTCCTTCTGGAGCCTTTTACTGATGGATGCAAACTCCAGGGACTGCTTCTTCTGAAGGCTTGTCTGGAAAACAAACTCACTTTTTGGTGCTCCAGCTGTCGTGTCCACAGATGGCCCCAACAGCAGATAAGAACATGGGCAAAGATGAGTCATGAGTTCTTCAACAGCAAGTACCTGTGAGTCCAAATGCGCACTTGGGCATCTTGGAGCAAAGGGAATTCACATCCCAGCTTGACTATGCAAGTCAGTGGTGATGTGGGGAGCAAAGCTATGCTGTAGCCTTCCCTCAGTTGAGAGAAAAGGTTCCAATTACTCACAGCAGTTGGGGGGGAGAAGACTTAATTCGCCTGGGGAGAACAGAGGACACGACACCCACCTACTGCTTGAGCATGTTTTGCCCAGCACTCTGTGCAAGTTGCTGTCTTGGCACAGAAGTGGTGCCACAGGGTCTGTATTGGCCATTCCCAATGGAGCAAGTGATCCTCAGCTCTCCTAGGACTCTTCTGTCATTACACAAGGAAAAAGCAACATTGCTTCAGAGCTTCTGCTGTTTGCCCATCTCCTCAATGCACTGCCTGATGGTAACTCTTCCCTATGGGGATTTTTAGATGAGTCTTACAAATCCTCCCTCACCTCCCTCCAGATGTTTTATTTTCCCTGCTATGTCTCCATTACTTCCATTACAGTTTTCCCAGTGCTCCACACAAATAAATGCAGAGAAGAAGGGGGAGGGGGGGGGGGGGAGAAGAAATTAAATCAGGAGAATTCAAGGCAATTTTCCATTGCCTTACCCTAACATAACAGGGTCACAAGCCAGGTTAAGTAAAATTTACAAGAAGAAGAGCTACACTCCTGGATGCAGAAGCTGGAGTAAACAAATAATTTTTAGCAGGCTATTAAGTAAAGTGGATGCTAGGAAGTGAAGCATGACAAAGAGCAGCTTTAGAAGTAAGAAGTGAGATAGCCTCCCTGTGCTTTTGCCTAGCACACCACCAATGCTGATTGAGTCAAGATTGGGTCAGCTCCTGCAGGACTTTTCCCAAGGCACTAACTAATCACAGAATGGCCAAGGTTGGAAGGGATTACTAGAGATCATCTAGTCCAACCTCCCTGCTCAAGCAGGGTCACCTAGAGCTCAGGGGTATGTCCAGATGGCTCCCAAATATCTCCAAGGAAGGAGACTCCACAACCTCTCTTGGCAACCTAATCAGAGCAACCAGTCCCGAAACACTACAGACCTTCCCAGGAAGCACTTTTTATTTGCCAAGCTGCTCTGACTCACTCCAGTACATCCACAGCCACTCACCTACCAACCCTAATGCTACAGATTTGTCACTGGGCCTTAGGGGCACCACCTCAGGGACTGCTGGGACCCCTCTTGTCAGCCTCTGGGAAGTCAGTGGTCAGGTCCCCAAAGGTAGATTAGGGTTTAGATTTGTTCACTCACCAGTTCAGGTCACTTCTGTATCTTCTGACACTCCTTGTCTAGGGTGGGCTTGTGCTCCTCACTGAGGCTTAAAACTCTTTCTGTCCTTATTGTATTGAAACAGCATCACCTGTGTGGGCACAAAATTCTTGTAAGGAAAAAAAGAGCAAAACTGCATAGCTTTTGAGCGATGGCAGCTCCCTTGCCTATTCATATTCATTTAGTGCTTACAGCACGAGACTCAGTTTCATCCAGGGCAGCATTGTTTCAGTAACATGGTAAGTCTTTAATAGGTAGCACAAACCCCTAAGAGCAGAGGCTGATTGGTACCGTGTTTTGGTCTTTTCTGCACCCAGGGTAGAGGACTGTCCTATAGAAATCTTCACAGTCTTGATGTGGCAGCTCCCAGTCAGACACCAGTGCTACAGTCTCCACAGTCAAGCTGGACACAAGAAACTTGGTTCATAGCACTGAACTGAGATACAGCCCAAGAAACACAAGTATATATACCTAGTGGTTGATGGCAGCTTAAGTTCTTTGTGTGTTAGAAGGTGTCCAAAAGTTTCTTCTTCAGGTTTTGTTCCATCCTGATACTCTCCTGTCAGAAAAGGAAAACAGTGACTATGCTCCAGCTGAAACACCTCAGACCTGTCTCCTTGAATTCAACCAGTGCTGTACCATTTCCAGTGTGATGGTACACATCTCATACTCAGTGGGGTGCAGCTCTGAGCCTGGGTTATACCCTAGGCCCACAAGGTAAAATACACAGGGAGCTCATGACATTATTCATTGCAGTTTCAGAAATGTGCCTGTTTAACAGATGCTTTGCGCAGGGCATGGAGGAGCACATCTCAACCACTGTGCAGTGATTCACAACTGCCTCCTGGTACCCTCGTGCCAGAGGTTTTTGCCTAATTTCCACCCCTCTGCCACTCAGTGCATGGTCTGATTTACACAGACCTGCTCCGAGTACATTTGCAGAGCTGTATCTGAAAAAGGCTTATTCTGCTGTCTGACAGCTGCAATGGTATAAAGAAGATACATGTTACCCGCTCACCTATTGCCTTCGTCTCACCTCTAGGACATTTCTTACTCAGTAGGCTGAATAGGTCCATTTTCCTGACAACCTCTCTTTCCTGGAACAGAAATGAAGCTACGCAGTGCTCCAAACCACATAATGAACTCTAAGTCTCTATGCCCAAACATGGAAGTATTTACATATATAAGCACTAAAAGCTTCTTCATAACTTACCCACTTCAGAAGGCGAAGGACAGCAGAGAGGTTGACCATGACTTAGCTTAAAAGCAGCTAAACTTTTCACCCTAAGGGCATTGCAGCTCCAGAGCCCCTCCCCAGCATTACAGAGACCTCGAGCTCTTCACAGAGCTTTTCACAGAGCACTTACTTACTGCACTGTGCTGCAGACAAGAGGCTCAGATCACTCAGCAAATGAAAATATCAGAACACGCTTAATTTAAAAGCTAAATGTAATATCAGGATGATGCTTGACAGTGTTCCTTTAATAAAAAAGTGATGTTATTTGCCCAAAGATTTATACCTTTCAAAAGAAAATTTGATACTTGATGATATCTCTTTTTTAAGTGCCTATGCTTTCCATTCCTGTAATCCTTTTACCCACTATAAAATCCCAAAGGCTGTATTAACTTGAATTAAACTGAGAACCTTTGATATGTTTCGGATTTATGCTGGAGACCGTGTTGATAATTCAGGGACGTTTTGTTACTGCTGAGCAGTGCTTGAACAGAACCAAGGCCTCTTCTGCACTTCACCCCACCTCACCAGTGAGGATGCTGGGGATGCACAAGGAGCTGGGAGAGGACACAGCGAGGACAGCTGACCCCAACTGACCCAAGGGGTATTCCAGACCAAATGACATCATGCACAACATATAAAGCTGGGGAAAGAAGCAGCAAGAAGGGGATGTTTGGATTGATGGTGTTTGTTTTCCCAAGTAACCATTACGCATAATGGAGCCCTGCTTTTCTGGGATGGCTTAATACCTGCCTTGATCATGGGAAGTGTTGAATTAATTCCTTTTTCCCTTTGCTTTTGTGTGTGGCTTTTGCTTTACCTGTTAAACTGTATTTATCTCAGCCCATGAGCTATTTCACTTTTACTCTTCTGATTCTCTCCCCATCCCACCGGGAGGGTCAGGGAGAGGGGTAATGAGTGAGTAGCTGTGTGGGGCTACTCACTCATGATGACAGCTGGGGTTAAACCACAACACATGGTTAAGTTTAGTTACCCAAGGGACAACAGCCAGTCATGTTCCCCACCCAGCATCCTTGTGAAGTCAGCAGTGCTCTGTAATTTCACCTACTCAAATTGAGACCTAATAATCCACTCCTGTGACTTGATGAAGGACCAAGAGCAGAGCTAAAGGTTCACCCTGATTTTCCCAGCGGCCATCCCACAACACGCCACAAAACATGCTGTAATTCAGCTGTTCAAAGTAAAAGAAGTCGGTGTCACAACTTGGGCTAAAGGAGAGTAGAGCTCTTCCACTGCTCTGTGATAATTACCTTCAATGGCTTTATTCTCTGGTTCTGGTGGGCTGAGCCTGCTTCACCTGTGAGGGCAGAATGTACAGCCATCAGGGGCATCATTCCAGAAGACATTTGCATTCTGCGAGTCTTGAATTTCACCTTTCCTCTGTGGTGTATGGCCCTGTCCCCTCCAAATGCTGTCTCCAATGGGAAGCCAAACAGACACACGCAAATTCAAGTTCCACATCTCCACCCAAGCTCAGCTGACATCAGTAACTACTTTGTTTCTGAATACCTCCAAACAGCAGAGAGCTCTTTGCCCTGCAACAGCACATTTGATGCCTTGTGCTGATGCATTGTACTTTATGACATGAACTTTTAGAGTGCCCCAAGGTTATCAGCTATAAAAGCGGCTAATATGACAGTGGAGGTTTATCCAAGCATTGCTCCAAGCCCTGAGACTGGCAGCTCATCAATAGGGAAGGGGCAGTAGGCACTGAATGTTTTAAATCAAAAACCATGTCCTTAAAAGAGGATACTAACATTAGCGATTCTTTCCCCCATCCCACTAGGGTGGGAGTGAACAAGTGGGTGCGTGGTGCTTAGTTGCCTGTTGGAGTTCAACCACGACACAGAGGAAGCCACTCGAACTGTAGCAGGCACGTTTAGATCCAGAGCAACGATGCCATTACTGCCAGGGTGACAGCAGGCTGCCCCTGTTCATATCTGGGACAGCCACATGGCAGGCGTTGGGAACACCTCTACACGTTCCAGAGCAGAGGGAAACTGAGCAACACCTCCAATGCCACAAAAACTTATCTACAAGGAGCAGTTCACATACAGGTTACCACTGAAGTGCATTGCAGGGGAATGACCTCAGCTTGTCTGCCTCTTCCTACACTCAGCTAATTTCAAGAAAGTGCAGCAGCATGGATTTCAGAGTGCATTTATTAAATCACCTAATGTGGTATGTCCTGTGTTGCTACAGTCATTTCACCTTAACCCTGCCGTATGGGAAATGTCTGCACAAACAGCATAAGCCGTTATAGTGTTGTGATGCATAAACCCACGGTGGAATGAGAGAGAACAATTAATGAGTATAAAATTTTGTGTTGTTTTTCAGTTGAAAAAGAAGCCTGGGAATTTGAAGAGCTGTTTTTTAAAAAGCTGCCTAGGATGTCAAGGGAAAAAACCAAAAGAAAGAAAAGAGAATCAGCCTTTTGCATGTGATTCATGCCTAAAAACACCCACGCAGCTCATCACATTGACCTCAAAAGACAGAAATGCTGCAACAAGATGCTTCCAGAGAGGGAATCCATGGGCACTAAACCACAGGGAACAAAGAGCCCATGAATTACCCACTCTTCAGAGCTAATCTGCTAAGCAAATATTAATACAATTAGTGCTGATCCCTGAGTCTCATTGTTTTCAAGATATACTGAATTTTTTGAAGGATGGAAACTTGTCACTGCTGTCAGCAGATCTGAGCTGGAGGGAAAAAAGGCTGAGAAAAACCTAATGAAACAAGGAACTGTTTCTTTTCTCTCTGTGTAAGCAAAAAGCAACTGGGTATAGCCAGAGTGGCAGAGATGATGCCTAGTGTTGCTTTCATCAGGCTGCTCCAGAGAAACTGTTCTCTTGGCTCTTGAATTGGTATTGCCCATCACTGCTTGCTCTGCTGTCTCAATCTGTCATATGTCAAGCTAGTCTAGATTTACCGAGAAGGGAAGGTCTGAAGGGCCTGTGCTCATTCTCTGGGTGCTAGCACAGTAACCTGTGCTCCTGAAGAATTTCATATGCCCCAACAGTAGCTCAGCCCATCCCAGGCAGGAGGTTCTTCATGGCTCCCTAGAAGAGAAGAGGCTGTGTATTAGGGTATGACGTAGAACAATAGGCCACCCACTGTCTCATCTTTGCAATCCTCATTGAATCCAAACATAGATCTCTTTCTTCACCCCAATTACAAGGATAAAGAAGAAACCTACTGCTTGGGTATCTACAGATGAATCTGCATGAATACTTACAAAACTGCTTTCAACTTCTTTTCCCACTGCTTCATGTGATATCTGGTCAGTTTCTGACTTCTTCACATATTTTTGGACTTCTTGAAAAGTGACCCTCTCCATAGAGGTAGAATCACTGAAGAGTTTGCACAGAGACCTTCATTTCCTCGGTACACACCCAAGTTTGAAAATTGCAACCCTCAATGTTCAACCCAGCCAATTCTTGCTAAGAGACAAGGGTTAGGCTGCAGCTATCTATTGTGTGAGTGTCATAACCACTGGCTTTGAATACATCTGACTAGAAACAATGAACAAGCTGAAATACACTGGTCCGGCTATGAAATCCACAGCAATCATATTGAAGTGTCAGCCATAGCTTCAAACCTTTGAAGATAAGCAAAGCCTCTGAATGCTCAGGCTAGCAGTGTCCTAAGATACTCATAACTAAAAAGAAAAATCCATACGGCAGCCCAAGCACTGAGTCCTCAGCCCAGCCCCCTCTGAACAGTGCACTTGGAGTTATTCTGCAACGAGACAACATGCACATCAGAACAAGCAGCTCTTGTAATTCATTTATACCTTATTTGCATCCAGGATAGGTTTTTTCATATTCTTAACATTGTTAAACATAGTCCTGGGAAATTCCTGGCCTAATACTGATTATGGTTCAAAAATGATGTGTTCCTGAAGGGAAAATATCTTGTGAAAATATGGACAATGGCCTCACACAGAGTTGTGGTCAATGGCTCAATGTCCAGCTGGAGACCAGTAACGAGTGGTGTCCCTCAGGGATTGGTGTTGGGACCGGTCTTGTTCAACATCTTTGTTGCTGACATGGACAGTGGGATTGAGTGCGCTCTCAGCAAGTTTGCCGATGACACCAAGCTGTGTGGTTCGGTTGATACCCTGGAGGGAAGGAATGCCATCCAGAGGGACCTTGACATACTTGTGAGGTGGGCTGATGCCAACTTTATGTAGTTTAACCATGCCAAGTGCAAGGTCCTACACCTGGGTCGGAGCAATCCCAGGCACAGCTACAGGTTGGGCAGAGAAGAGATTCAGAGCAGCCCTGCAGAGAAGGAGTTGGGGATGTTGGTCAATGAGAAAATGAACATGAGCTGGCTTCAGTGTGCGCTCGCAGCCCAGAAAGCAACCGTATCCTGGGCTGCATCAAAAGGAGCGTGACCAGC